TTGCCTGACATCACATAAGAACTCTGTGACAGAGCAGGGATAGAATCCAGTTTCCCTCCTTTAACCATGAGACAATCCTTTTTCTTCATACAGTCCCCTGCCTCATTCACTCTTCTAACTTCCTCTGCAAATGAAGGAGGAGTCTTACAGATGTCTCTTTTGCCAATAATCCTGATTTATCTTTAGAGCACTGTGGAAAAAATAGTCACATAACTTTTGCATATGCATTGAGGTTTCACAGGCAGCCTTAATTCTGGCATTTCCTAGCTTTTGAATGCTTGACTTTGCAACTGTGGTGGTTTCCTACACAACTTCTTATTTTTTAAAAAAGCAAACGAATTGACAGTTTCTATCATAACTACACAACCTGGTTAATAATCCAAATTGGCACTTTTGGATCTGCCACAGACTTTGAGTGGTAGGTGCTATGAAGGCCGACCTATAACGATTCAGAGAAGAACTTGGTCTCTTTATTTTTATAATTAATTAGGTAGACAGAGAGGAAAAAAAACACAAAGACAAGACACCTGTGCCATATGTGCCACGTTATCCTCTGGCAACAAGAAAATTGGAAAATATATAACGGGGCTGTACTTGTGGCCTGCTCTTTTACTTATGACTGACTGCAGTTAAGCCATTACATTAAATGTATCTTTTACATAGGCAGTTGGTAAGTGTTAAATTGTTTAGGGTGCTTTGGTTTTACTTTTTATTAGTATTGAAATAACCCAGGCTAACTAGAGGTGGTTGATCTGTACTGCCGTCCTCCTTCACAGAGACTATACATTGCCCTGGATTCCACCAGCTTTGGAAGTATTATGACATATTGGCCGTGAATAGACCTGAGCATGATTTTAAGACAATAATGTTGTATTTGTTCTCCTTGCATTGGAGGCTGTCCTGATGCAGTCAAGAGAGCAGGTGTCAGAAGAGTTGGTGAGACTACAAAAAGATAATGAAAGCCTTCAAGGAAAGCATAGCTTGCATGTGTCTTTACAGCAAGCTGAAGATTTCAGTCTGCCAGAATCCATGGAGGTAAAATATTTTAGATGATTGATTAGAATAGTAAAGTTAAGAGAGTGTAAGAGTAGAACTATGTAATGGTCTGGTTAAACTGCAGAAATTACAGGATTCTAGTTAAGGCCTTGACTCTGCAGTGCATTGTGTGGGGTGGCAACAGGCAGTACAGATTAGTTGTGTTTCATCCCAAGTGTGAGAGGAGACTTTGCCTAGGAGCAATGAAGGTTAAGAACTGGCATAATCCTTAGTACTGAGCAATAGTAAATCTCAACAACTCTAACATGTCCACTCCCTTACGCTAAATAGTGGATTGGGGCATGATGAGAATTAATGTGTGTATAGCGAGAGCGTTTTTTTGAAAAGATCTTCATTTACCTTGTCCTGTTACCTTGAACCTCTTTAAAACCTTTTTGTGAATGGACCTTGAGATGCTGAGACAGAGCAAAAAACACTGATAATTCAAGTTTTTCTGTTTGACTGGTGCCAATGTACATTGCTTTCTGAGTATGTGAAGATGTTGTAACTGAATTCTTGCTAATCTTCAATCAAGGAACTCCGTGAGCTGGTATTAAAATATCGTGAGGACATTATTAGTGTACGAACTGCAGCAGATCATCTTGAAGAAAAACTGAAGGCAGAAATCTTATTCTTAAAAGAACAGATTCAAGCTGAACAGTGTCTAAAGGAAAATTTAGAAGAAACTCTACAGCTGGAAATAGAGAATTGCAAAGAAGAAATAGGTGAGAAGGGACAAAATAATCTAAAAAGAAATGTGTGTTTGAAAGGAGATTCCTGGAGACTTGTTCTGGGGTAGCTTAAGTCAAATGTATCCATATTATCAGAAGAATTCATTATGGTGTCCCATCTGATATGTTTATAGAAAAACCACAAAAATAGCTTTTATTTATAACAGTTGTGACAGACTGCATTTGACAAATTGTGCTTCTGAATATAATCCTAAACCTAGACAGTTTCCATGATTCCCTTATAAATATGGTCAAAATACCTTCTGATGTAGCAAATTAAAAGGGGAAGTGTAAATTAAAAAAAAGAGTGTAAATTAAAAAAAAAAAAAAAAATGGAATAATTACCAAGTTTTAAGCGCGAGATTACTGTTAGCTGTCTAATTTGTTTTCTGTGATTTAGGTTGATATCTTTGCTATGTTGACTTTGACACAGATATCAGTAATAATTCCTGTGTTTATGAAGGAGGTCAGACTATAATGTCAGAAGGAACCATTGTGATATCTGTAAATATGACTAAAGAAAACATGGGACAGTTCTTAGAATAGTTGTTTTTTTTAAATCGGAAATTCTGTTAGCAGGGTTGTTTTTAGTGGCAGATGCTGTTCTATGTCATTATTGCTGAATCTCTTTTACTAACCTCTTTTACTTACAGTTTCTTGAGGGTTATCAGCCCCTGCTATCGGGGAAGCAGAATCTAGATGAGTAGAAATGAGATGAAAAGAATAAAGCTGTTTTTTTAATTGACAAGTGCATATTAAAACATGATTACAGTACAGGCAATTTATAGAAATAAATCCAAAACACAAAAAGAGAAGTAATTGTTTATATTTATGTAGCAGCCAAGGTGTGTTCATATAGATCCCCTTGCTGGCGACTTTTTGGTGGAAGTCAAAATGTAGGCACAGGGAAAGGGATGCAACACAGTATTTTTATTTACATCGAGATTAGTTTTGCCGGATTTGCTTTCTCTGCTTATAGTTTTATTTACAAACAAGGAGAAGGGATTTAAAGCTTCCCTAAAGCGTAGTGCACAAAAACGAAATGGTTTTATTCCCCTCACATGTTTAAAAAGTAACACAGTAAAGAGGCTTAAAAGATAGTTCTGAACCATACTAAAATTCAGCTAACACTGTTGGCAGCTGGGAAACCAAATGGGAAGTGGTATGTGGCACTCCATAAAAGCAGGAAGTAACTTCAGCTCCTTTGGGTTGGTAGAAGCTGGGAGAAAGAGGAGACACCTCACCCCTTTTTTAGGGTGGGTTGCCTTTTGTAAACTGTCCTTCTGGGGACATGATTTTTTTTTTTTTAAACGTTGCAATTCAGTTTTTCTCCTTAATCCATAGCTCCTGGGAGGTGGGGTCAAGATTCATTTCTTCTGTCAGCGAAAACTTAGCATTTGTTCTTAATCTTCGCAATCCATTCCCTGATGCTAACCTGGTAAAAATAATGAATTTTGCTTGATGAATGTTAGAGATGTGTGTGTAGCTTGCACTGACTTGGTTATACCAGATAGAACTAGATATACAGACTTAAATCTCTCTCTTGTCTTGACCCATTGTCACATTTATTGTAATTCACACCTACTGGTCTATTCACGACGGCGCATTATTAATATCTTTACTTATTTCAAAGCTCTAGTCAGGATATTTAAATAAAGTGTGTGTGTGAGTGAGTGCACAGCAGAGCGGTGTTACAAACAAAGCTCTTAAGTCTTCAGAAAAAGCACACATCATAATATTACTACATGCTCTGGGAGACCGAAGTTTAACTGGGCAGGGGAGGAGGGGATCATCACTCCCCGAACACATCTATATGTTCTAGACACAACTGCAATGGGTGTGGCACAAGAACATGGATAAAATAGGTTGAACTGAGAAGGCGATTGCTCCTACCTCTGTTATTTTATCACCCAGTGACCCTAGAGGTATGTTGGCTTCCACCTGAAAGGAAATCATTTGCCTACCAGAGGAAAATTGCCATGGTCATAAGTTATTGAGATGAGCGTTATAAGAGGGAAATGGTAACTTCCAAAATGAATGAGGAGAAATCTTCAGAACTTATCCTTACTAGGATCATATGGATTTCGTATTACCTTTACAGAGACCTGTGGCTGAGGGTAAAACCATTCCCTATAGTTAAAAGATTGTCAGATACATTTACCTTGCTATAATGTTTAGATCTCTTTTCTAATGGGTTAATGAAAGTGAGGTATCAAATCTGCAGAAGCTAGTGCCTTGATGAAGTGAAAAGTTTGTTTTTTCTTGTTTCACAGCTTCCATTTCTAGCCTAAAAGCTGAATTAGAAAGAATAAAAGTGGAAAAGGAACAGGTAAGAGTTCAGCTTCTAGATTATTTAGGAATTTTACAAACTTAAATGTAGAAAACAACCTGCTGAAGTGGGCAGGACAGAAGATCCCAACAAGGCGATTCATTCGTGTTGCTCCCAAACCCCTGTGTCAATATTAGCCCCTCTCATGTCATAGAAAACAAGCTAACTTTCACTTGTAAGCATTTTGTAAAGTGATTGTGAATGAAGATGCTTCTGACAAGTCACTGATGTCTAGGAGATGCAAGCAGTTTGGAATTATACCATATTGTGGCCTTCATGTGACTATATCTGTGTAAATAGTACAAGATTTACTACTTTTGATATGAACCTTCCATAAAAAGGAAGGAATGCATATTCTGTGTAGGAAAGTTTTCTGACCACGGTGTACATTGCCAGATTAATGCAAGTTGAAAATGTGAATGCTTCTGGATTTTGAGGAGCAGCACTGTCATTAATAAATAAATAAATAAATAAATAAACTAGTGGTGGGCAACCTGCAACCTACTGGGGCTCCATCTGTGGCCTGCAGACACCCTGGTTGCCCCTCTCCCCCACGTGCCTCTTGCATGCTGGGCACAGGAGCCCCACACTTCCTGCTTCTCCCCATCCTGCTCCTCTTCCTCACTCCTAGAGCTAGAACACTGCGAATCAGCTGTTCCTGGCTTCTAGCTCTGGGAGGGAGGGAGGAGGAGCAGGAACAGAGTGAGAATCAGGCGATTTGTGGGCTCCGAAAGTGCTGGGGAGAGGTGAGGAGCAGGAAGTGTGGCACTCTAGTGCCCCAGTGCACGAGAGATGTATAAAGGAGGGGAACAGATAGACGGGCCATGGGGCTGCAGATGCAACCCCAGTGGGCTGCAGGCTGCTACAACCCACTGAGGTGAAGGAAGGCCACTCATGCGGGCCCTCCCTATTCCTCGTTGCCCATCCCTGAAGTAGATGAGCAGTGTAAGTTTTTGCAACCTTAACAGTATCCAAAGAAAAGGGTGATGGCGTGGTTTACCATGGAGTTCCCGTACAAGACAATTACACTGATTTTTCTCTGTAATGTTTAGAATGACATGCATTTGTGGGGAAAAAGGCAATTTTTTGGGAGGGGGGTTAACTAATTGCTTTCCTTTGATGTTACAGTTGGAGTGCACCTTGCAGGAGAAACAACAGCAGCTGGAGAGTCTTCAGGAAATGAAAAACACTCTTGAAGAACAGCTGAAAAAGGAGACCACTGCCAAGGTAATTGTTATGTTGGTGGCTACTTATGACAGTAACTTTTCAATTTGTACAAACACTTGTGTTTGTCAAGTGTAGTATTCTGAAAGCTCACAGGAATGGTCAACGTGGGTATTGGTAGCAGTAAAGGATAAAACAGCTCCCAAGATCCACTCTTCCCTTTCTATCTTGAGTGTACAAGGCTCCTGAGGGAAGTTGTTGCAAGTCCCATTCCTAGTCATTTTAAAACAGGATTTCAGAAGGCACTACAGCTGAACCAGACTTTTCAATAGCTGCTGCTCTAATGTTGGATAAATCCTCAAAGTTAGACTTCACTACCTGGTTAACCACACCCCAGTCTCCTGAAGTTTTGACATTTTAGCATTTACCGGAGGGACCAGTCCTGTATAGGCAGAGGAATGTATTAATTGTGATCTGATTTCTATGTCCATCTTGACCAAAACCCAGACCAAATATACAGTAATCTACCTGTGGAAAAAAATCCTTATTTTCTAGTTACTGTGATTGCGTTGTCGGAAACTTGCAGTTTTACTTGGAGGGCTGGGGAAATAAGATGCTACAAAAGGCTTCCCCCCCCCCACATTAATGAAATTGGCATTGCCATCCCCATCATCTTGCAAACTGGGTATTAGCATCTCTTTTCCTGATAGGGAAACTGGCCCAACTTCAGTCAGGAAGACTGTGAAATACACCTAGATCCCCTAAGTCATGCTTAGCCAGGACTCCATCCAAGCCCCTTTTGCGCATAGTTTAAGCACAGTGTTAAGAGCTTGTCTCTTTCCAGACCAACTTTGAACAGTTGATGTTTGAAGAAAAGAACAAAGCTCAGCGACTGCAGACTGAATTAGACGTTAGCGAGCAAGTACAGAGAGACTTCGTAAAGCTTTCGCAGACCCTTCAGGTAAGGGATGTGTATTCAGTCTGTCAGGTATTACATTTGTTCCTGCCAGTATGTATTCTGTAGTGGAGATGCTGTGTGACCTAAAAACTGGGCCCATCAAGCAATTGATAACATGGTGAACAGTGAAGAATTATTAGTCTAAGTAACAGAGGGGTAGCTGTGTTAGTCTGAATCTGCAAAAGTGACAAGGAGTCCTGTGGCACCTTATAGACTAATAAGGTGCCACAGGACTCCTCGTCGCTAGTCTAAGTAAGGAATCCAACCTGTTTTAGAGCTCGGTTTTTATTTGGCCTGGATCTGACTGCTTGTCCCCCAGCAGTCTCCCAGCACCCAGAAGGGAATTACTGCATTAAATGGAGTTGTATAGACCTACACAAATAATAGCCTCATGATTCTGTAACATTGCAGAGTCCACCTCATGATGTTACCTCTATATAATAGTGTAATCATAGTGATTCCTTTTGATGTAAATATTGACATGCAATATCAGGAATTTGCACTATTTCTCACTTAACATGATCACCCCTCTGGGGTGTGTATTTGCTGCTTTTTAAGCTATAGCTACAGTACATTGTATTTTTATCCCTATCACTGAGTCACGTGATGCTTACAGATTTTTGGTTAATCTTTCATAGTGTGGTTGTTTGCATTGCAATTTCTTAGCCAGCCAGCCAGCCAGCTCTCTCAGCAAGCATATGCTAAGGTTCAGTCCTGTACCCTTTAACTTCTTACACCAACTGTTCAATAGAGTCGTTTAGAAATAAAACTTACAAATTGCAGTTCAGATTTCTTTATTTTAGCTAGTAAACAAAATCAAGTTTTTTTGAGGGCCCCCCCATAAGTGAACTCAGTGTGTGGCTTGCTGGAGGTAGTCCTCGTGGATAGGCAGAGTGAGTTGTTAACTCTTTCTCTTACATGTTTCTGCAGTACAGTTATGTACCATTCTCTGTAAAACTGCTTTTTACTTGCTGTCATGCTCTTACAAATCTACATACTGCTTTGAAAATGAATTGGCTCGGTCTCCTTTGAGAAACTGCACACAGATCTTGTTTCAAATATTCATGTGACTCTAGAGAGCCACGATAAAACGCAGCTAGTGTCACTTGCCACTGGTTTCTTGATTCCAGATGTGTTTGTCACAGGCTTCTGCCCTCAGTTGCGTGGCCATGCAGGGGCTCACAACTGCAGTGGGGAGAGATGCATCTCTCCCAACAGGCACCTGTGGCAGCCTGAGGAGAGAAGCGCCCAGCTTCTATCCACCCTAGCTTGGACCTGTTGTGGCCATGGAGTGGTGCCCCTCGCCCAGCCCTACCAGAGCTGCTGCTGCTATGGAAAAACCTCTCGCCTAGCCCCAAGTTGCTGTGATGAGAGAGGGCTGGGCAGAGTCTTCTCTTCCTTGGGTGGCCTTCTCCCCCTCCCCCAAACTGCTCAGCCCCAGTCACATCCCAGCACCTGCACTCCAAGCTAGAGCCCCCACATCCCAACACTCTGCCCCAGCCCTAGGCCCCTTCCTGTACTCCAATCCCTTTGCCCCATCTCATCTGTGCACAGAATGAATTTTGTTATGGGCACCACTGTGGACATCTGTCACACATAACTTCCATATTAGTGCGCACAACAAAAATCATTCTGTACATGGATGTAAAACAGTAGAGGGATCACTGCTTCTGCCTGATCTTTGTTTCCTCTGGATAGACAGTCTTCATGACGTCACTCCCGTCCCACAGCTGTTGGTCTCATCTGTAGGAATGAGCATGTCCACTCTCCGACATACTGAATGTTTGGTAGAAGGGCTAGTCAGTGGTTTCTGTGCTAGCTCCACTGTGTGTAATACAAGCCCTGCTGTATAATGTATGAGGATTTTAGTTTCTCCTTGATAGCTGCCTTGGGGGAGTCTGGATGCAGTGGTGAAGCCAGGCTTTGTCTGTGGCTGATTATTGTATATTTAAATCAACTAGCCACTAATCTGGTATTCCAGATGCTAAGAACCATGAACCCCAGTCCTAAGACCTTTCGATGTCAGGGAGCCCTGAATCCAGATTCCAGGGAGTAACTTGATATGCAGAAAAGATACCCATATAAAATACTTATAAAAATGGTCAAGGCAGGGGTCTAATCAATCTCTGTAAGTATTTACCTATTAGGGATGTAAATACCCATTAAAAAAATATAACCAGTTAAATGTTATAATTTTAATGGTTTAATCAGTTAACTGTGGAGGGTGGTGGGGGCTACTTGAGGCAAGGGCTTCCAGCCAGCCCATCGCTGGCCCTCTATGGGCAGGGCTGCTGTAGCCGGCCTGGGTCCCTGACCCACCGTGCTGCAAGCCGGGGCCTGCTCCAGCCAGTTGGGATCCCACCTCACCACAGTGTAGAGCTTACCCTCCTTCCCCCCGGGCCTGGCCCTCAGGTTAACCAGTTACTGGATAAGCTTACTGGTAAGACGAATGCTTACGGGGTAATCAGTTAACCTTTTACATCTTTATTACTGATGTATAACAATTATTTAATAGCTCATTCATTACATTAGAGGCTGGATCTCCATCGTCTGGCACCCTCAGGACCTGTCATCTGACCAGTCCCGAACGAGAGAATTTTCTGGACCGGGGAGCTCCCCTGCCACCAGCTCCTTAGCCTGCCGCCTACAGGCTATAGACACAGAAGCCATCCTGCCTCTGCCTCCCCCTCTTCCCACCACTGGGCTGCTCAGGCCCCTGCTGCAGGGCTTCAGCTCTGGCCCTGAGTGCTGGCCTGGCCCCAGGCTGCTGGAGACTGTCCTGGGTCTCCAGCCCCTTCCTACCATTAGGCTCCCAGGCTATCTGGTCCAGGAGCATCTGTGGTCCTGCCAGAACGTGGATGTTGCCAGATCAGTGTGTGCCAGTTTTTGGAGGTGCAACCTGTAGCTTGGGATCACAAGGTCTAGCCCAAAGACAAGAGGAAACCTGATCAACAAAGGAGCCCCTTATTGATTTAATAATTAGATAATTGTCTCTCCATTTACTTACCTTACACTCAATTTGAAGGCCTGAAGATGCTGCCATAAAGTAATTTCCCAATTTTTTTTCACTCTTTTGGAAAACAGCCAAACTCAGCTTTAAGATGCATGTTAATGAGCTGGAGCTGAGGGATCTGAGGCCACATCTACACAATGGGCACTGGTGCCATAGCTAACGCAGTATAGCATCAGCGCATACAGCTTTTTCCATCACTGTAGGAATTCCCCGAGCAACAGTAGCTAGAGCCATGGACACATTCTTCCATGGATGTAGCTGCAGCTAGACTAGGGTTAGGCTGGCATAGCGATGGCTCTCAAGGGTGCATGTTTTTACCTTGAACACTGTAACTATGCCAACCTACGTTTTAAGTATATACCAGGTCTGAGTTGGCTTAGCTTACATCCCCCGATACTTAGAGGTGTATGATAACATTCAGGGGAGGTGCTACTTTAAAAACATACATCTTTGAACACAGTTCTGCTGGCTACTTCTCTTAATACACACCATAGGGCTAGAAGGCAAAGGTGCATCAGGAAAAGCAACCATCCAGTAGGGATGTAAAAAAATCGGTTAAAATGTAACCACGTAACCGTTAAAAATCCTATATAAGCTTTATACTGCAGAGCCCGCAGTGCAGGGTGACAGCCAGCTCCCCAGGAGAGGGGCTGGCAGCCAGAAGCAGGTATGCGCCAGGAGCTGGCTTATAAGTCGGCTCCCAGCGCACATCCGCTGCTGGCCCTGCTTCTGGGGAACTGGCTTCACGGGGAGGGCAGAGTCTCTGCAGTTTTTTATACTTTAGAGCTCACAGCGTGGGGTAACAGCCGGCTTCCCAGGAGTGGGAGCCATCGTGTAGCCATAATGGAAACTGATAAGCTCATACTTATCGATTAGCTGTTTAAATGATTACATCCCTAACGTCTACAGTGTGCGCAAACACAAATAGTTTTAAAGTAGCTCCCCACAGCATTTTAACTTACCCCATCAGACGTCTGTGTGAAGTTGCACAGATTCCAACACTTGCTACACTCACTCATGGAAGATTCACACCATCTTTTACATCGCCTTTTGAATCTGACCCTTCTCTAGTCCTCCTTGCTGGTATGTCATGCACTGGTATGTTGATACCACCAAATGACTGTAATTGATGTGTCTCAGCAATGAATCATCTAATTAGTGTCTTTTTCAACCCACGATACCTCCTGTTCTTAGATTTATGCAACATACGTACCCCAATACACCCTCCTTGCAGTTTAATTTGACTTTTCCACATGCCTGGCTCTGAGCAGAGTCCTCTTCCTTGATTTCCTACACCTAACTAGGCTATCTGTGTTTTATTTTCTCATGGGTTGATGGGATTTAAACAAGATTAGATCGCTACTGCTACTCAATTTTTTCCAAAAATATTTACCTTGTTTAGCCACTTTATCAGTCATTCTGTGAACGATTGCATCACGATGTGTATCAAATATATCATATGCTAATGTTTGGAGTAATTTCATAAGCTCAGTATAGATGAGTACTTAGCTATCATGCCAAGTACTGCACTTGCAGTGTTAAGGTTTAACATTTAATTGGGGGGAGGAAGAGAGAGAGGGGTGTGAAGCTCTGTGAATCAACTCAGTAAATAAATTGTTTTATATAGGAAAGAGTTGAATGGCATAGTAACTGGGGACGCTTTTGCCCTTTTTTTCTTGATCTTGAATGAACAAACTTGAAGCCTCTTTTTAGGCACATGTGGTGGAAGAAAGCACTACTTACTGAAAATCCATTCTAGGGGAGGAACTCGAAATCCATTGCTTACCTTGGAGAGGAGTCAATTTTGGGTTCTCTGCAGGAGTTGGCATTAACTAATGCCATCACTGACTAGAGGCTTACAAACGATGTTGCGTGGACTTTTCAGATGTAGCAAACAAGTCAGTTATTGTTAACTGAATTAGGCTCTTTACAGAACACAGAGCCAGCCTACTGTTTCTTAGTTGGGAGTACAGTGCCATTGTTTTACGTGCAGCAGTGGTTACTGGATATGCTGAGGTAGCATATCAAAGCAGACAACATCCACTCTAACAGCATGTCTTCTGGTCCGAGACTTATTACGCACATTTTACCAGCGCACTGTATTTGTTGCTTTTTGTAGGTGCAGTTGGAACGGATCCGGCAGGCAGATTCCTTGGAGAGAATTCGTGCAATCCTGAATGACACAAAACTGACAGACATTAATCAGCTTCCTGAAACATGACACCCTGATGGGCAAGGCTCCAAGGCTGCCTTTGGGGTTTTTAACTCATCTTTATAGCAACATTAATTATTATTTAACTCTAACTGAAAGAGCAGATGATGACAGAGGGGAACAATGACTGAGCTTGTTTCTAGAGGAGAGAAGGTTTTGCACAGGGCAGGAAGAGAGCACCAGGGAGCCTTGCAGTGTAGAAGAGAATTTTCTAATGGGAACACTAATGGGTGCAGCATTTTCCACGGTAAGTGGAAACAGTCCTTCACGTTCTGAAATATTTTTCCCTTTGGCTAACTTCTTAACCTAATATAGATACCTGGAACATTTCCCCCTAAATACTGTGATCAGAGTAGCTGCTGGAAATCATATTGACCCTCAAAACACAAAGTGATTGAATTTTCCTGTTTTGAATAGACAGTAACAGTATTCAGCTAGAAGGCAGCCTGAGGTGTAGTGTGCTGTATGAATATTTTATATTAAAATACAAATTTATTAGCAGGACACTGGATATTGATCTTATTTCCTAGTTCAGTGCTTTTTAAACTGTTTTTGTTGAACAATCTGAATGCTGTGGAATGTGGCTGATATGAGTGTGTCTCAGGAGCTGAAACAAGTTAATCCAAAAAATGAATTGATCATTCAAGAATGGACTGTAAATTAAAATTCTGTAGTAAAAAAAAAAAGCACTATTTATAACTTCTCCTTCACCCACTGAATTATTTAAAAAAATTGAACCATAACTGATACTTTCTCAATTTTAGAACTGAGGTGTTGCTAGTCCTGTATTTGTGTTAAGACTTAACAAAACTCTGTGCACCATTTTGAGTAACACATAGAGCATTTGCACATCCTCTCTGCAGGGGTGGAAGTCGCTCTGTGAACTAGCTTTTACCCTGTGTAATTTGTAGTTGAAAAAGGAAGAGGACTCTGAATTAAGGAGAAATTCAAAGTCTCACACCCATGCCACATATAGGTTGGGTTAATAGAACATGCATCATGTAGCACAAAAGCATCATAAACTGCATTATTCTGCAGGTTTCATTCCAGTGCAGTGCATCTCAAACATATCCTGATATTGCTTAAAACAGAGGAAGTAGCCCAAATTCTACTCTGATTCTTAACTTAAGGTTACTCTGTGCAACAGCAGCAAAAAGATGACTGAGTGATACTCTATAGGTCCTAGGTTTGGGTTTCTTGTCATACAAAGCAGTATTATAACATGCCTTTTTGAGATATTGGAATTCCATACAGGATATCTGATGATGGTGGCTTATTTGTCACTGTACACTAAGTGTTGCAAATTGAATATTTGGACTGCCCCTGTTACAACTGAACTAGCTCTGGCCTATGAGAGGAAAGGAAGTTATCATTTGATCAGTATTTCAGCCTTTACTAATGAAAAGGTTAGTAGGAATATCCTTTCTGCATATTAACATCGAGCATCTACAGTTCTTAAGAGGCACATGCTCTATATTCTATGTACACACTTGAAAATGTGGGCCTGTATTTGGCAGCAAAGTCACAGGACAAAATTGTTTTTAGCTTGAAATTAGCTAAGTCTACAATGCAGTGTTGTGTCAATCCCACAATATTAGAGTCAAGGTGGGGAAGATCGTATCTTTTATTTAACCAACTTCTGCTTGTTGGTGAGTTTGTTTCTGATAAAGGATATTACCTCCTTTACCTTATGGGGCTAATATTCTACTGGTACTTGAACTTGGTAGCAGTGCTTTAAGGAAGACAGCTCTTGTACGAGACCTGGAATACATTTAACATTAATTTTTTTGTAGCACCTATTTGAGGAAATCCCTAATCTGGCACAAAAGTATTTAACTTTGAGTTAAGGTTGTATATCCCAAACTCAAAGAGAGTACAGAAATAATCATTCAAGATCTTTTCTACACTAAGTCACTTCCTCTTCTCAGCTGCAACTCTCCTCATGTTATTGGTTATGTTTTCATTGATGTGGCTTTCATGTACTGCATTTCATGTGGCTATGGTACATGGTAGTCAGTTGTGGATGATGGCTGTGTTGCTGCAGTCTTCAGGAAAAATGAGTGGATGAGCTATTAATGAGAATTCATATACTTGCTAGTAACTAATATAGCAATTACAGAATGGAAACTTGCATGTATGTACATGTTGGTGTACTAAACATTTAGCCTGGAAAGGTGGCTACATGTATAATTAGGATGTGAGTAGGGGCTTCACAGGCTCTGGGAGAGATTAGTTGAGAAGGGGAACTAAATGGTTACAGCTTTTTTTTTTTACAGAGCATATTGGCGCAGCAACCTTAACTTAATTTTTGTTTTGTTTCTAAACCTTTATTATTCAGACAGCTATTAATAGTGTAGTAGTCTCTCCATGTTCTTCCCTCTTTTCCTAGCTTGATCTTCTTCTGTTTAGCTTTTAAGTATTAGGTACCAGTGTTTAAAGGTAAACTGTAGTATGGGAATGAGCTTGTCAGCTGTTAATCTCTATTCCTATGGCCCAGGCTGACCTCCCTGTCTCACTACATGTGTAGGCTGGAGTGAGTCCAAAACCACAATTCGAGCTCTTGGTGAAAACACAGCCCTGAGCAGATTGGCAGAGATGAAGTGGTTGACTGCGGTTCCAAGACCTAGACTGTCAAACAAACAAGGCCCTATAGCTGAGCTACTGTAGGGATGGTGATGGTTTAGCCAGAAGAACCCAAAGGTGTGAGGAAAGAAAACTCGGGTGCCTACTGGAAAATTGTATGCAAGAGTACAAACAAAGCAGGATTTAAAGTGCAAATAATCCATTTTATAGCAAGACTGAGTACCATTGTATCCATAACTGACTATAGGAGGAAAATTATCCCTCTCATAGAAGCTCCTGAGCTCAGTTTGATGTGAGGGTGATTAGTTGTATCTCTTTAACATGCACTAGCTAAAATATGTATGTTACCTACTACACTGCAAATAAAACTTAGAAGACTGGGATGGTTCAGTATAGGCTGTAAAATGAAAATTCAGTGAATTTCAAAGTATTCCCAATACTTGTGTAGTCTTAATCTGTGCAACTAAAATGTTCTTTCTGCAGCATGTCTAGTAATCCACCTTTCCTTAAAAGCTATTTTGGCACTTGTGTGTGCCATCGTCAAGCAGTGCAGTACTCCTTTGTTAAGCTTAGCTTGACTATGCCACTTCTTTTGGGGCAGCAGGGAAGAAGTCAAGCATAATATTCAATCCCTTGAAGTCTTCCTAAAGTAGACCTACAACTGGCCTCTAAATTCTAAGTCCTCTCCCTGGATACAGGCAAACTGAGTGTTTGGAAGTGAATACTGCATTTCAGTGAATCCAGCCCTTGGTGTCCTGTGCAATTGTGGATGTAGAATTCTGCTGTCTACAGAATTCAAATGTAACCATTTGTTATCTGTATTGAAGGTGTGTCCTTAAGAAAATGTTCCAAATTAAACAAAAGCTGCTGAAGTGCATGTGTGCGTGCTTTTCTGGTTTTTCCAAGCTGCTCTCTGCCAGAGGGAGCTTCAGCAGATGAGCCATAGCCCCTCCCTTGTTAAGTAAACATCACTTCTAAATCTTGCTCTTTTCTATATTGCTTTAATACTTACAACTATCCAATCAATATGTAAAACTGTAAGCTCTAAGGCAACAAATTGAGCTTGTAAAAAGATTTTTTTCTTATCAAAAGAGTTTTATTTGATACTGAGTCTTTACAAAATAATATGAAATAAAAAGCATATGCAGCACAAAATTGTTGCTGATAAATAGATGTGGATTGTATGTTCTCCCCTTAACATATTTCTTGTTGCTGGTCTCAAAAGCATTTCGGCCCTTCTATTGTGGGGGCTTAGAAGTTCACATGGCTTCTGATGTCATTGATCTGTTTTACCATTTCCCTTATATGTTCTCCCCTGCAAGAAAGTAGACAAATTGAATTGTACCGTGCTGTAGTTCTGAGTGGGGAAGGGATGTGATTGGTTTGCCTTGTTTGGAGCTAATCATAAACATTGCCCCTGCAGCTAAAAGGCAGGACATAGTATTAAGCTAAAGGTAATTCTTCCTGAACTATTTGATTGGTTGGCATCTTATAAAACCTGTCTCTTAACAGTGAGGCTCCATTGTATGCCCTTGGTGACAACCCCAAAATTTTCCAGTAGGGTTGCTGCTGCTGTGCAAAACACAAAAGAATCCAGCTTACTAAATCTTAGGTGGATGGGCTCCTGGTAGTTAACAGGAAGTAGGTACAGATGTTGCCTAGGAACCACTACTGCAAGTGGTCAAACTCCTGCAAAATCAGGGAATACAAGTTTTGCAGAAACCATGCTTTATCAAACTCTTTACAATTGCCACAGTAAGTTAGGACCCACAACAGCAGTGCTCCAAAAAACAATGCAGCTTGATGGAAAGACCCCTCACTCCCTTGGCTTCATTAAGAACACAAGACTAGCACTAGAGTTTCAGTATGTATTTGGCTTCAACTGTCCTCTCTCAATTCCTATTGCATTGTGCTTCTCTGAATGGCTCCCTACAGTGAGGTTGGTTTCACTGTCAGCCAGCCTGTGCTGCTTTTTCCACTTTTAGGGGTTTATTTTCATATGGCTTATTCTGTGAAGACTTATGTATGACCACTCAAATTTGACTTGACATTCATGAATTTGTCCATTACCTGCTCAGCTTTTTAAGCTGCACCTATCAACGTTTCAGTCCTTTAGACTTGCCCGTAGGTAGCTGGTTACCTTACGGTCTTTCTCTCTCTACACCTCACTTGTAGGCTGTGCCTGCACCTCCTCTAGAGAAACCTGAGCAGGCTAGATTCAAGTGAGCTCAGACAGCAGCACAGTGAAGGCACAATTACAGCAGCTTTGGTGCAGGCTAGCTACTTGAGGGTATGTTCACACTACAGTTGTCAGAAAAACAGCCTTTTTCCAACAGAACTTTAGGAACAGCCACACTGCAATTGCATTCTTCTGCAAGAAATTTGAAAGAACAGAAGGGTTTTTCCAGAATTGGTAATCCTCCTTCTATGAGGAAGAAGCCTTTTTCCAAAAGAGCTCTTTTGCAAAAAGGCATGTGTGGATGAGGAAGAGCGAGTTTTCAGAAGAAGAGGAAAGAGGTGCCCTGGTGGCCATTTTGTCCATAGCAATCACAGCTTACATGCAAGATAGGTCTGATGAAGTGGGTCTTTGCCCGCAAAAGCTTGTGTTCCAATAAATCCGTTAGTCTATAAGGTGCCACAAGACTCCTTGTCCCTTATGCAAGAGAGCATCCATTCAATGTGGACGCTCTTTCGAAAAAGCAGATTGCTTTTTCAATGCACTTTTGCAGTGTGGATGCTTTCTTGTGAAAGAAGCCCATAGTCTAGACATAGCCTGAGTAAGTACCCAGGGTCCAGGAAGGCTTGTACAGCCCAGGCTCTCAATTTCATTTTTCACATATGTCTGTCAGATGTGATTGCAGCTTATGTAAAGTGATGAAAAACTAAGGGTTTCCCAGCCAGATGGACTGTTGAGGGAAGGAGCAGACCAATGGACCTCTCAGGCTGACATGCACAGTTCTTGGACATTTGCCACAAGAGTTCCCACATGCTTCAGTCTTTACATAAGCAGTGCGCTCTCTAAAGAAAGATCAGACCCA